AAATTTAAGAAAATGATAGGTTAGAATAAATTATTATTTTTTAAAAAGTTATAATAATTGTTGATTCATACAAAATTATTATGTAGGTTTGTACAAAATGCTGTAAAAACCTACATCTAGAATGCCCATTATTTTGATATTAATTTGCTGAACTTTGTGGCTATAGTTTTAATGTAAATAGCCTCACTGTCATGCTTTTACCAGCACAATCTGGATTTTTTTCAATTCAGTGTACAAAACTAAGTGAGAGGAACATAAACTGAGCAAACTGCACTCCATTTTGTGTAGATTCTGCCAGGATGAATACGAGACGGCCGTGCATATTCTGTGTGGCTGTTCTGCTTTGACTGTCAAGATGTGCAGACGGTGTGGGCGGGGCTTTCTCAATGTTGGGGAACTCACGTCCAACTCACTGAGGGATATATCTGGGTATTTATTTGGAAGCGAGGTAGTTTAAATGGGTTATGGTAGGGCTACAAAAATCCATGGTTGGCTACAATGGTCGGACGAGAGGAATTCCTTTATCTATTTCTCGTTTCAACAATTTTCAATCTAAAAGTAAAAGGGAATTTAATTTTCACCAACTGGCTTTTCTGAAATTTCATTTCTCGTAATATAGAAGCACACGCGAATTTTCAATTCTTTATAGAAACACACAATGGAACGCGAATTATATGAAGGATATTTATGTTAACAAAAAGCTTTCAATTCCACTCTCGTGCTATTTTTTATTGCAGCTTCACGAATTATTTTTTTTGTAATTTTTTTATTCACTTTGGAACAGTTATACACTCTTGTTTACGCATTGTTTATAAAATTTGGAGAACTGAACGAAAGAAATGATTCAAGTTTAATTTTACTCCACAAATTCTGAAGCAATGTGGAATATTCTTAAAACAGTTAAATAATAGCTACAATATTTTTCGAGAAATATTACATAAGAGTAGCGGTACACTTGAAATTTCGTTTTATATTACAATTCTCCTGTAAATATGCAACACCTTTTTTCTCTTTTAATACTATTTACCATAATTTGTGCTCAAATTTGTGTAAATAGTTTAATGTAATTATCCTTGACTCTTTTTTTTTTTATATTAAAATATGAACATCGGGTTTTTTTTAATAAAAATACTTAATTATTATGCTTTTGTAGAGAAAAAATTCATGAATTTTTTTAATTAATTACGATGAAAAACACAAAACTCTTCTTTACTAGAAGAATATTAAAATGAAAATTAATGAAAATTTCTTTTGATTGAGAATTTTTTTTTTTTTTTTTAAAAATATTTGTATGAAAGTTTTGTAAAAATTATTCAATCGAAATTTACGCTATTCACAAAATATTTTGCTTTAAAATTTTATTTTCAAAGAATCGAGAAAAGAAAGAATTTTTTTTTATAATTTTTGTTGTTGTTGTTTTTTTTAATATGGTAACACTTATTTTTTATAATTATATGTATGTAATAACAAAAAAAATGTAAAATAAAATTCCTTTCAATATGAAAAAATCCATTCACTTAACAGGAAGCATGAGAAAAACAAGTTTTTCCTGCAAAAATAAAAAAAAAATTAAAAAAAAAAATCAAAAGTTTTTCGATTTTCACATATTCCACTTTAATTTGTTTTTCTCCTTTTTCTGTTTTTTTTCTGAATTTTTACGAATTTTTTATTACACTATTTTTTTTTGCATACGTATACATATGCATGTACACGTGTAATATTTTGTTATTATAAAAACAATTATGTACGCTGAAGCGTAACAAAGCAAGTAAAAAAGTTTGAGCAAATAATACTTTCATATAGAATAAACACCAACTTCGAAAATAATGAAATTCAACGGAATCAAAGATAGAGATGGTATTCGACAAACAAAGTATAACCTTAATGATATTTTTTATCCCAGTTTTATTCTATTCTATGCTCTTTAACTATAATTTTATAGTAATAATTTTGAAATAAAATCATTTATCTACGCACCATTTTAAAACAACATAAGGGCTAATATGTCACACCAAGGCCATTTTAACTTCCAGTTTTTCTGATTACTTTATAATTCTAATATTAATAGTTTCAGTAATAGTTTCTTATAAACGAAATCAAAAATATTGTAACACCGCTAATACAATTAATACACATCACGTATAACACATTGATTTTTGTGTCTGTAGCATAACTTTTTTAAAATAAAGAAGGAAAAAAACATGCATACATAAAAAGAAAAATCCCATAAATCAAGTACAACCATCTAGTGAAAACTATCTCTCTTTAACGGAAATATGCAAAATAATATTATAATAGGATATAATAGAAAAATAGAAAAGAAAAAAAATAAACAAGGAAATTCGAATATAAGTAACAAAAATTTACATAAAAAGCAGAAGAATATTTGAATAATAAATAAACAGTAGAATCTCTTTTCAAAAGTGTTAGCCAAATTTCACATATTTTTTCACAATTCCAATCACAATGAAATTTCTTATTAAATAACTATAGCTTATCTCGTGAATTTGAGCTATCGATCATATTCTGAAATTTTGCCTTACAGTGTCCTACAGCCAGAAGTTTTTGTAATATTAATTTAATATTGAATTTTACTATCGGAACCATTTTATTAATAAATTCTTCAATACTTTCATTTGCTTGTTTTAGTAACAAAATTTTTGTTGAAAGATAAATTATAAAGAAAACCAGTTACGCATGACAAAACTTTTTTTATTAAAGAAACTGTTTCTAACTGCTAAATTAATATTTTTACTTTACTCACTAACTCAGTATTACAAACTCCCTTTGTTTTAGTAAATAATTTAGTGAACTCCCTTTCTTTTAGTATTAGTTTTTCTTATAAGCCGCCACATAAAAAGAGAACCTACTGTCACATTCTATGCATAATAGATTTTATTTTTTAAAAATCTAGTAAAAAAATATATTTGAATACACCATAAACATATACGAAAAGTTATACAATACTTTATAGGTATACTATGTAGACAATAAAGTCATTTATATATACCCACATATCATTATGATTTAAATAATACATGTTATACGTATTACAGAAAATTTTCATTCGAATATAAGCGTATTATATAATAGTATTAAAATTAAAATAAACTAAAAAAACCGAATAATATTAAATAAAAAAAAAAAAACAAAAAAAAATATAATAATATAGGAAAAAATTTAATTTTAAATTGTGAATATCCTGGATCCAAACCTTTATTTAATCTATGATAAATGTTACATACATAATTTATGTTAAACACGTTCCAAACTTAAATATTACTGACACTATTTTTGTTTCTCTTATTATTGTAATAATTTTTTATTCTTTACTGTTTGTTACTGTGTTGCCACTTTATTTTTTACCACTCCTATTATCGCTGTTTTTTTTTTTTATTTTTACACAGTTTTTAGTTTTTGTTTTCTTTTTTCATATTTTGGCTTATATTGTTCTGATTCCGAAAAACATCCTAGTTCACATGAATCACATGCATACAACAAATTTTATTTAACATGAATCAGACCTTAATTTTTATACATGCGACGGCATATTTAAATTCTAATATGAACTTTTAAGCAAGGAACAAACAAAAAAATGTAAAAATTTTCAGGGTTTTCTTTATGATCCTGGAACTTTTGTTTTAAAATGACTGTATGTATTAACTTTTAAGTATATAAAAACAGTGTTTTGATTTGAATAAACGAAAAAATGTTTCCCGTTGTTTTAAAACAGGATATTAAAGTAAGACTCGCAATTTATATGTACAGTATAGTAGAGAAAATAATTTTCGGAATAAACTATAAGCTTTTCATTTCAAAAATAGATTTTTACTAAATTCAAAATAATTATGGTTTAATAAGTGATATTAGCAGTCAAAGTAATATGAATCGGAAAATATACTCAAAAAATTTAAAAAATTTTGGATTTCAAGTTCATAGAAGTTTTCTAGTAATCAATATGAGAGAATCTGGCCCTATAGTATGAGAATTCAGAATTGGACTTGTTAGGCCAAAAAAAAAAAACAATCTTTACAAGCCTTTGCAGCAGGATTTTTTGCGGGCAATTTTCCCCAAAATTCTCGTCTATAAAAATAAAAAAGTGAACTAGTAATAGCGAAGCAAATTAACAAATTTTTCCTTCAAGCTTTTAAAAATTCGCTAAATATAAAATAATTTTTTGTTTCACTGAAAATTGAAGCTAACTCCTCTAACAGGATGTCATAGCAAGCGTGAACAATTAAACTTTTCTCATTTTAATTTTTATTTTTTTTTTTGTAGTTTTCACTTTCATTTTTTTTAAACACTATAGAAAGTTTTTGATTTTTTTGTAGTTGAAAGGAAAAATCAAACAAAAAAATTGTGTGTCAGAAAAATTTAGAAAATGAAGTTGGGAAAAAATTTTTTTTTAATAATTTATGATAATTTTTTTTTTATACGCATAACATTTTGATAATGAAAAATAAAAGTTGTAGTATTAACCTAATATTAAGATATTTTGCAACTTTTAATAATTGTGGGGCAAGGATAATATTAAAGAATTCTAAATTGGGATTTTAAATGACGACAGGAGAAAAGTTTTTAAGGAAATTTAAAAAAAAAAATTTTAAAAAGAAATTTTTAATAATTTTTTTGCCATTTATTTAAAAAATTTTGAAAAATATGTGTGTTGTTGCCATTTATTCAGTAAGAGGGAATACACAGTTGTAGATACTATGAACAAGCGTATCCTTGTCTTGCTTTCGAATTTTCAAATCGCTTGTAATCGTATACCTTGTACATTACATGTATATCTAAGTCTGTTACTCTTCACTGTTCCCATACGTAAATTATGTATGTGCATTACTTATCTTAAATATTAGTTTTGTTGATTTATAGCTCTATTTTACCACTATTTTGCTGATAATAGCATAATAATACTGTTTTACATGAACACATAAAAAATCTGAAAATTTTTATAAAAAATTATTAAAATTTCTAATATAAATTCTAAATTATTTCAGAGTGGTTCAGGTAAATCAACAGCCCGTATTGGAGATGGCCCTATTTTAACATTGGAAAAAGTTGAAAGGCAACAAGCTGGTGTTTATCAATGTACTGCTGATAATGGTGTTGGTGAACCAGTTACTGTTGATATGAGGCTTGATGTGTTATGTAAGTTTTATTGAAATAATTTGATATTCAAAATTTAATACGAGTCATCTGTAAAGTTTTGTCGCTATTTCGGATATTATTCCTGTAATAATGAACCAATGACCTAAATATTTTCCTCAATTTCATGAAATAAAATAATTTTATAATTTTTAAATAAAATTTTAAATGAAATTCACAATTATAATCGTATATATCTAGTTCAAAATGTAATTAATTATTAATTGAAGAAAATTATAAAAATAAAAATTTATAAAAAAAAATAATTTTTAATAATCGGTTGTTAAAATTATTTAATATGTTAATTTAATTTTAATAATTACGTTCAGTTATTGAAAAATTGAAAAATTATAAATGTAGGAATAATTATTATAGAAAAAATTTACGCATAATTAAATTTTTAATTATTTTTATTCAATCATTTTAAAATTTTATTTATTTTTATTTGTTATTTTTTGAATTTAATTACAGTCCCACCAGATATTTCTGTTGAAAAGTCTTGGATTCATTCAGGTGAAGGTTATGAAGCTCAATTAGTTTGTATTGTACATGCAGATCCTGTTGCAACCGTAAGTTATAAAACATGCTATAATAGTATTGAAATTTATTAAAAAATTATAAAATCAATTTTAGAATTCGTAATAAAATTAAAACAATTAAACATTGCCATAATAACTGCTTTAAAACTTATAATAAATTTTTCTGGAAGAAAATGAAATTTTATTGCTAGTTTTAAAATACGAAAACATAAATTTTGTAAAATACTATCAAAAACTTTTGTCTCTTCAGAAATCTACTTCAATGAACCATTGAAATTCTTTTTTAAAATTTTTATTAGTCATCAAAAATGAATTTAGAACAAAAATGTAACAATATGACAGGAAAAAGAATAAATCGATCAATTTTGAAACCTGCATTGTGAACTCTAAATGACCCAAATCAAACTAGATACATCCAAGTATTAGATCTGTTGTAAATATTAAAGCCATGTTATTGATATTTGCATTTTCTCTTAAAACTATATTCTTATTTTTCTATTTTCTGTATAAGAGACGCTTAAAAAACCGGGTATTATACGTGTTACACTTAACATCAAATTACGTACTCGTCTTATTGTTTGTACATAATATTAACATCTGCGTTCAGTTTCAATTTCCACTCATGAAATGGGCCATTATCTATGAGAGAAATCTTACAATTTTTATCATTTCTAGAAAAAAAAATTAATAATTTCATAAATAAATATTTTCAACAAATATTTTCAAAATAAATATTTCTTAAATTATTAAAATATATAAAATTTTAGAAATGAGAAATAATCTCTTGAGATGCGACACTTATCATCCTTCAAGATGCAATTTATATGATTTTTCCATTATTGTCTTTATGTATTTTTCAACATTTTATTCCATAAAATTTAATACACTCGAATTTCACATTAAATTATAAATCCATGCTTAAAAAATTATTAAAATAAACTGCCTTTGACATTTTAAAATTCCCATTTTATTTTCTTAGTTGCATTTTCAAAATAAATTCACAATAAATTGCAATACAAAAAAAGAAAAAGAATTTTTTTATTCATTTTCAATAAAACTAAAAAATTGCTACCAAATTCCTGAATGATTGAAATCAAAAAAATTTTATTAGAATTTTTTATGCGATTTTAATAGTAACTTTCTAATAATAAAATATTTATTTTTTATTTACATTTGTACATACTCTTATTTTTGTTGATTGACTTTTAAATGCACATTAAAAAAAAAATTAACAAAGCCGAAAAACAAAAAAACAAAACTATTAAACTCGAAACTTCATTTACATTTTATTATCCTTTGTTGTTAGCTATTTTTCAGAAAAAATGAATCCTTTTCTTGCTTTTTGTTTTGAAATTTCATGTTAGAAAAAAAAGAAATGAAATTCTCTCTTAAAATAAAAATAAATCTAAGGAAAATTTAAAATAAAAAATTCAAGGAAACGGTGAAGACAACAATGTTTTTTTCTTTCATAAATGAAAATTCACACACGCACATACACACTACATAAAATATAGCATTGCTTAAAATTTAAAAAATAAAAATAATTCAAAATCGTTTCCATTTTTTAATACTTTCTATATGAAGAACAAAAAATCTAAATCACCAAAACTTAAAAATATTTTTTTTTGTTTTTTATTGTTTAAAAATCATAAAAAATCCTTTAAAATTTTTTTTTCCTTTTTGCTTTTTTAATATCCTTTATTGTACTGTTTCTTGTATATAATGTGAAACATGTGTACGTATGTTATAGTTCATATTAAATAAAAAGTATTTCTGAAGTAGCTACACTTTCGAAATTGTATAGGAAAACAGAAAAAGCATCATACTTGTTATATGAGTTAATCATTTCGAAACGAATATAACATACTTCCAATTTAACTCTATTATATTAAAACAAACCCTATTGAATTTTCAATTCCAGTATTATAAATCAAGTGAAATAAAATGAAATTCTGATGATGTGAACAACATTGTATTCGAAATTTATCAAGTTCATATATACATATGGTAACCCTCCCAAACCATATTATGTAAGTTTTACCTACATATAGTAATGCTGGAAAATTTTAAACTCTTATGTAAGATATTGCATCAATAATATTATTACGGTTGAAAAATTATATTGTTTATTAATTAAAAAGAACCCGTCTTTCGAACAAATTTTAATTTAAAATTTATAAATTCCGAAAAACTTCATATGTGTTTCATTCAGTTCTGACTTCTCTCGTTCTCGCTCATATTGATACTTCTCTATGATTCGAACTTATTTTTAATTTGTAACTCTCAGTGGTCCTTATTTTGAGAAGTGATTACTTGAGTGACAGTAATAGTATGTTTAAAAGTAATAATACATAGACAACACTTAATATTTTACAATTTTTACGTATAAAAAGCAACATCATCTTATTAGTCGCTCAATAGAATTGGCTGTACTTATATTTAATTTTGATTGTTACATTCAAAATTTCATTGTTTCGAAATTATTTCTGTTAGTCAAAGTTATTTGAACGGTGTACGTTCTTATACAAGAACGGGATAAAATTTTAAAATTTTTTCGATTATCAAATTATAAATATTAACGATTGGTGTGAAAACAATACCTTCACAATATTATTGAAGAACTCTTCATTTCTTATTGTTTCGAAATAAAAATTTTATTTTTACAACTTTACTTTTCTCTGTTTCCATTTGATTTATTATTACTTTTTCACTTTTTTTCTTTTCGTTATTTTTAAAAGAAAATATAAGAGATCAACCTCCTTGAACCTTTCGTAAAAACTCCTTACAGCATTGCCATATTAAAATTTTTTCTATATAACTATAGTTTATATAAATTTTTCTCAATTGTATTATCATAATACACTAACAGTGTACACACGCCAATATTCTCTATAAACATACTATAAAAGTGAACTCGAACTTTGTATTCATGTTATAAGTGGAACACCAACAGAGCAATAAAATTCTATTATAATTTCCATGAAAACCCCTTCATGTATACATTTTCACATATTCTTATCGATTATCTTCAAAAAAACAAAAATTCGATTATCAATTTTTTTCGATTTTTCTTATTTTTTATTTGATAATTTCTTGGTTTTTGTTTTTTCCCATAAGGGAATACAGAATGGTAAATTTTTGATCAGAAACATTATTACATTTCATATACGTGAGGATGTGTGTGAATATTGAGTATAAACATGTCTGGATACATAAATAACAAAATGTATACAATATCTATCATCCATATGTATATAATCGAATTACATAAATTATATAGGTACATGTTAGAATAGCTGGTATGGCTATATGTATAATATGTATAAGATCATGAATTAATTCATGATGTGCCTAAGATAAGTAATAAAAATCATCATCAATATCTTCAAAATTTTTAAGTATATTACTTGTATTCATTTCAATTTTCGGGAATGAGTGTATCCGTATATTAAACCAAAATTTTTTAAATTCTATTATTATTAATGTTAGTGTAGTGAGCTAGAAAATTTTTAATAAATTGGGAAAATTTATTTTAAAAGGAAACATTAACTGAAAATGAAATTAGTTCATTTAATTCTAGTGCTCTCATTCTTGAAAATTTCTGTTTCCTTTGCTGTAATTAGAATCCGTATTTAAGGAAGAGCGGAAGGGACAAATAATATTCAAAATTTCAAAATTTTTATTGAAATTTCAACATTTTTTATTGAAACAAATTTGTGCACAAATTAAAAAATGCTCGTGGAAATGAAACACTGACTGATACCATTGATGTTGAATGAAATAATGAGTTGGGGAAAATTTTATATTCTTCGGTAGCTGAACACCAATTTTTTTTTTTTTTTTTGGTTTTCCTACAGAAAATACTTTAGAGAATTTCGCAAAACAGAGACGATTCAAAAGAAATTAAAGAAAAACTGTTTATAAATTTTTTTTTCCCAAGCAATTTTTATTATATTTGGTTGTTGTTTTTTTTTCGTTTTTATTTTCATATTTAATTTTTTTTTTAAATTCTAATCGAATTCCCAAATTCCCACCCTAATAATTACAAACAAAATTATTTTGATGAGAGTATGTGATGTGTGCTTTGCTCTGCTCTGTTGCTTTTCATTCATACACATGTGATATAAAAGAATAACAAAATGTATAATGTATAACAGAAGAAATTGGTATAGAATAGATTATGGATTATGCTGTTATACAGTCTATATTTGTTATATTACAACTGGCGCCAAAAAAAGAATATTTTTGTTACATTCTTTATCCTTTTTTCTTTCACTTTAATATTATTACATTAAAAGTAAGTTCTTAAAATACATAATATTATTGACTTATAAAAAAAAAAAATATTGTACAAATAAAAAATTTTATATACAGGAAAAGGTATCTGTTTTCATTATACATACACACTTACTTATATTTTATTCCGAATTTAACTGATTTCAGCAGAAAATTCAGTATAGAAGATAGAAAATTTTTGATTTAAAATGATGCTAATTGAAACATTTTGTATATACATTTGATTTATAAATTTAAAATATTCTAAGGTCTTATACTTATATCTGTATACATTAATATGGGTTGTAAATTTGGAAAATTGAAATTTAATGTAGAAAAGTAAACAAAGTTGAAGTATAATGTATTGAAATTTTCAATTGAAAATGTAGATATGTATGTAAAATTCTCTGTTAAATTTAAATGTGAATTTATTATGGATTAAGTTATTATTATTTCAATTTATATTTTTCCAATAAAATTTTATTTACTAAATATAATATAAGAGAAATTTGGAATTTTGATAATATATTAAGTTTCCTGTAGTAATTTTGGACAAAATCGATTACATAATATATGTATTATTATTTTACAAGCTTTGAGTTATATGAAGATAGATTTTTAAGGCAATAACATAATTATTAAAAATAAGGAGAGGTAAACAGAGTTGACTCATATGCATTATATAAATTTTTTGTGTAAATAGTGCCCATGTTACTGTGGATGGTGTGTAGTAGGTTAAATATGAGTATAGTAGC